AACAGACACTGATATAAGAGACAAATGGGTATAAGAGACAGCAGTATGCATACAGTAAAATACGGGGGGATAGGAAAATGCGTATGAGGTAGCCTGCTTATAAGAGACATCTTGTATAAAAGACAAGAATTGCTGCCTGGAGCATGCCTCTTATATAGGGGTTTAGCTGTACTGGAAAGTGCTGGGTGCACGAGAAATAAATGTAACATGCCGAAATTGATGATCCAGAAGCATCGATTACCGGTGATCGATTTGAATAGGCGTGGTAACGAGAGAGTTAAAAAGCACACTACAGGCACCCTGCGATGACTGTGCAGCTTGCGATGGCCGAATCGGTCAATAGCTGTAAGCCGCATTAATGTCTTGAACCTCATTGCACTAATGGCATCATTTCTTGAAGGGAGAATGGTTGATTTCTTGCCGACTGCAATACTCTATTGTAAATTCCGTGCCAGGTTTTTGCGCTGTATAGCAACTTGCCCACCTTGCAGGAAATCTTGTCGGCGTAGGCATTGGAACGTGGTTTTAAAAGGGTACTGGCCCCTTTTTTTCAAAGGCACGTTTTCTCTGCCATACGAATCTTCCGTATACAGATAGTTTCCTAAAATTAACTAGAGGGTACTCTGGCTGGATCATTCAGCGACCATGGGAATGATGGATAGTACAAGGATTTGCCTAGTCTTCATACTTGCGGGTGGCGAATCGCACTTTTGGCTTCGTATATTGCTGTGTTTCTGTTTTCTTCTGAAGGAAAGAACGAACCCTTTTGGACTTTGTGACCAGATTTCAAATATTAAGCCTAAAGGATTAAGGTGGTGAAGCGTAACCGTTGAACACTCGCTGATTTTCATTTCGTGACAGAACAGCTCCGTCACACGAACACACGCGAAGCCAGAAATACAAAGATTGGACAAATCCGCGTATTATACCCATCATTCCCATGCTCACTGAAGCACCATGTGTTGCTTCCATAGACACTAGCGCCAAAGTTTCCTTTAGTGGATGGCGCCTCTCATAATGTAATGGTGGTTTTGGGCCGTTAAACCCCACACATCAATCGATACCTTTAGTATATAGCTATGAAAACTCTATAACAAAGACGGCTCTGAGCAAGTGTGACACTTGGCAAATGTTAAGATATTTACTTTGGATATTAAAGTCAACTTCGGTGCGGTGCATCTGCCGACATTGACGCTAACTTGACGTCGGACTACAGTACTAATCCTGGTGACTTCGCGCAGCAGTCTGGAATGGTGTGATGACGTCAAGCACCAAAACACTAAAAATGGCTGCTTTTGAGTGTCGTCTTGATCATCTGCTTGGCCGTGTGCTCACCGTCATCTAGTGATTCTGTGAAGCAAGTAAGCGGAGTCTGTAACAGTATACATGCGTGCAACCACAATATACGCGCTTATGAAAGATCATAAGAATCGTTCAAAAAAGCGACGTGCAAACGAGGATATGCCACGAAAACTTGTGCATGCACATACTACCGCTTGGTGGCACTTCTCATACCATGTTGTGACGTTAAGGTTCTGTAGTTACCAAAACTAGCTTTTAAAAGTGTGCTATAATTTTTCAGGGCGCACTCATGCTTACCAGTACATTTGCTACGCTCTCAAAAACTTGGCCTATAATTTGACGCAAAAAACGATAGTGCAAAATTTTTTGTTGGTGCCCCTTTAAAACGACACAAGTGATCGCTATCCTAAACCACGAGCTTACACTTGCGAGCATGCTCCTGAGCGAGTGGTTGTGAAATCGTCACAAGTAACACGATAGTTTTGTCCGGGAGAGTTATACATATGCTGCAACATAATATAGGCCTTCCATATCCGAAGAATTAGCTAGCCCCTTTTTGAAAAGGAGTTCACATATCTGCATTCTATATGCTACCGTAAACTGTGTCCTTGATTCATTGAAATCCTTAACTGGTATTGTTTTTGTTCCCATGTTGTTCTTTGACAGTGGCACATCATCCACGCTGGGGCTATATTAAGGTGATGCGCTTTTGATAGATCGGTTGATGTACCCGGGCACTAGTAAAGAAAAAGTGGTTTTTCGTCGTTGGAGTTCCCTCCAGCCAATGGCGTCACATCACCATGTCATCGTGAAATCTTGACTGACTGCCATCATGCTGTGCTCACGAGAGGGATCACCACCACCACCACCACCGCTGTGGCTGGCTGCAGCAGCAGCAGCAGCCGCCGCCGCCGCCGCCGCCGCCGCCGCCTGACTACGTTAACCCGCTTGCCTTTTCTGGGAGTCCAGTCAGTTACCCTTAACGACCAGCAGTTATCCTGTCTACGTGCTACATGCCCGGCCCACGTTCATTTCTTCTTCTTTATTTCAGCTATGATATCCTTAACCCCCGTATGTTCCCTAATCCACTCTGCTCTCTTCTTTTCTCTTGAGGTTACACCTACCATTTTTCTTTCCATTCCTCGCTGCGTCGTCCTCAATTTAAGCTGAACCCTCTTTGTAAGTCTCCAGGTTTCTGCTTCATAGCTAAGTACTGACAAGGTACAGCTGTTATATACCTTTCTCTTGAGGGATAGTGGCAATCTACCTGTCATAATTTGAGAGTGCTTGCCAAATGTGCTCCACCCCATCTTATTCTTCTAGTTACTTCAATCTCGTGGTTTGGCTCCGCAGTTATTACCTGCCCTAAGTAGACGTAGTTTTTTACAACTTGAAGTGCACTATTACCTATCTCGAAGCGTGAGAGGGATGAGAAAACATTTTTCTTTATGCTGACGGACCTCAACCAAAATGGCTGCCTTTTGTTCTTTGTGGCAATCTACTGGCGTCGTCAGTGAGATGACGCTCTTGCAAGCTGGCTGTAGTGCAATTAATTCATATCTCAGTTTTAATTCTACAAGGAGCCCTGTTGGTGTGGTGTGTGTAGTGTTCGGTAATGACGATCGCCATGCTGTTTTGTGTTCGGCAAAAGTTCTAGTCATCATACTCTGCAGGTGTTCTTTTTAGAGCCTGAAGTGTTTTGCAATCTGCTGTTTCATGCCTCCAATACTTGTGGTGCACATTCGTTCACATGCCTTTTGTCACATGTGACAGGTGGCGATAACTGTTTGTTTTTTTTTAAGCCAATGACGTCAGTAATCACTGTTAGCAATAATGCTCTCATTGGCGACTCTAGCTGACGAAAAAATTACTTCACAGGTTATTCCAAGGGAAAAAAAAAAATGAATTGAAAAATGAAAAGAAACTGATTTACCATGTGGACATGCTCACAGAGTCCAAGCACTACCTGTAGGCGCCAAGGGGTCGGCCACGATGTCATGGCGGTACGGTGATACTCTTGGCTAAGGGATCCTCTGACTAGTGGCGAGTGTCGTGTGTTCTTGTCCTCTTCGTCCCCGTGAATTTGCGCTACTACACCATATGGTTAAATGATCCTCTGACTGCAGTGATGGAAGTGCTGCTCCAATTGCTCCAAACTGCTCCAAAAGAGAAATGCTGCTCCATGCTGCTCCAAAGTGCAATATTTGCTAGTAACTGCTCCAAACCTGCTCCCGAACGGTGTTTGCAAACTAAAAAGAATGAAGTTAAACCATGGGACCATCCCGTGAGCTTAAGTGAAACCAAAACCAAGCTGTATACACACTATCATAGTAGTATGCAACTCAGTGGCGTAAATCCTGAAAAATTGCAAGGGGCGACACATACCAGGCCATGGTGGCAAATTCGTATTTTTATGAGTTTTATTTTTATTTATATCAGAATTAAATAATGCTTTTAATAAAATTGTAAAAAACAAGCACAGGGTCTGAGCTCAAGCGATTGAATTGTTATATTCAGTCTCTCTTTTTCTTTACCTTTTTGCGATTTCTTTAGTTCACACAGCTCAAGGGCATTTAATACAGGTATGCAGTAATAGATAAGGAGCCTTTTAAAATGTTGATTGTGCTATGCTTAACTGTTAGCTCAATTATATCACGTGCTCAAGCTTAATTTCAGGGGGATTGCAGGAGTCGTTAGGAACATGCATGTGCTCTGAAAATGCCAATAACAACCTTAAACTATAGCATTTTTTTCTGCTCCAAAGACGCTTAAGCCTGGTCCCAAGCACCATTTTTCCTGCTCCAAAGTCTGCTCCAAAAAGCAAAATGTCGCTTCCACCACTGTGAATGTGAAAAGCCGCATTTTTCTTCACTTGCAACCGAGTGTACTCTGCCCCTATTTGTCCCTTCTTTCTATCTTTGTGCCCTGTCTGCAGTGCAGTTTGTCAGAAGATCATGTTGAAAAAGTGTTACAGAGCCTCTATAACAGAAAAATACCTGTTTGTCTTAAGCAGATTTTTTTTTATCTTGTTTACAGAAAACCAAACCTAGTACATTGTCTCAGCCGAGCTGTATGCATATGAGTGAAGGGCGGGCAGGTGAGCTGTTTGGGTGTGAAGGGAAAGAAGGCAGGCAGGGGACGTGTAAGCATGTACACCTGTCCAGTTCAGCCAGCTCGCATCTTGCTTTCAGTTTGTTAGTTATATATAACAAGCATCAAATACATAACACTTGCATTCAGATGAGGGCCCTTGAGTATTAATACTCAAAACTGGACCCTCAGTCTAAAACTGAAACAAAAGCGAATTGAAAACAAGTGGCTGAAGATTAGCAGGTGGTTATAATAATCACATATACAAGGCCAAACAAGTAGCAACATTTCAGAGCAGTTGAAATACGAAATTAAACGATGGCAATACAATAAAATGAAAGGCGCAATGTAAAATGCAATGCAATGTTAACACACAGACACAAGTAATACGCAATGAAAGTTGGTTCGTGAAGTGTTTCAGACATGCCGAGGCATAAAAGCAAAACTAATAGGAAGAAGGGGCAGCAGTACGGTTTTTGCTGCACGCTGTTGGTGGTTGAATGCCCCAATTCTTTCGTCAGTACCCTGATCCAACATGCAGGGACTCTTATTAGGTGAGCCTAAATAAGCAGTGTCCATAATAATTGTTTTCTTCTCATTGCTTGCAGGTGGAGAATGAGGAGAACGTCTTGGTGTGCCTACGAATCATCATCGAGCTGCACAAGCAGTTTCGGCCACAGTTCAATCCAGAGGTATGTGCCACTGCATGCTGCCCAACACCGTAATATTGGGGCTCTGCTATGACATACCGAAACCGGAGAACTAGTCTGTGCATATGCCTAGCTGCACTGTGCTCTGCATGATATCCACAGCAGATCTAAGGTCAGTGTGTCTACTGTGTTATTTGCACCATACATTTGGTTTTCATTTTGGTGGGTGATTTGTTTAGCTAGTGGAGTTAAACTTGGGTTCTAAATTATGATTTACTTCAGAGTTCTTGGCACCCTTAGAAGTTGTTTTTCCAAGAACATGTTTTTACTGTTACTTCTTTGGGTAGCAGTTTACTCTAAACTTTAACACTAGGAAACTTGAGGTTTCAGCCACTGATGTTTCAGGTTCCCCCGTAGCTTTTATTAAATAGAATGCAATATCTAGTGTACAGGCCACACCTTTTGATGTTTTACTCTGTTTCACAAGCTGTTACCAGCAGGGTGAATAGGTATGTATCCGTGGTCAAAAAGCATGCATGGTCCATCTTTTAACACATATTTGCACAGCGAAATATGGTCTGTCTGTAATTTCATCATAATTGACTATGTTAACACGACTGCGTTTTTGTGGTACTTGCCACATGGCAGCACTATGTGGTGGGCTAATCACGATCTGCGTTTGTGTTGTGTGAGTTGAACCCCGCTACAACAAAACTGAAGGGGCGTGGAAGAAAATTTCGTTGAAGCGAAAATTTCGTTGTGAAATTGAAAAAATATAGCCGATCTCAACTACAAGACAAGGAATTCAAAAAGCGTCCGCTGCTTTTTATTCTATTCTAGCAGCATCACGACGCGAATCTCGCCAATGCATAGGCAGGCCATGGTGAAAAGCACGCTGGAACAGGGACTACAACCGCTTTCGTGAACGAATCAAACAGTTGCATTAACACGTTAGCACCAGCAGCTGTTCGCTGTCAAAATGCCGAGATGGCAGCAGGGTATCGTGCAGTGGTGACTTTTGCCTTATTTTATGCCATTTTTATCATCCATCGCTCGTGGCTAGCTGATTTTGTTGATAATGTGGAAGAACAGCCACTCTGATTAGTTACCACACTGGCCAAGTGAAAACAAAATGATGAGCATTGGAATCAGAAAAGGCATCATTCCGCAGATCCACCCAGCAGCTGCCCGAAGGAAACCATGAACTAAGCAGCTGAGCTTCAGCCTCGGATCTTGTACGGCTATACAGTACGCCCAATCTTTAAGGGGAGACACTGGTCTGAAATGTTTTTTTTTTAATTTTCAGTATTTCCAGCTGAAATTTTAATAAAATATGTATTTTTCACAGCTGAAAGCAAATATGCAATTAGTTTTTTGCTATCACTTTTAGATTTTTAAATATTGACTGTTACATAAACTTGCATTCTGCCCAGCCTTTTGACATCTTCCTCATAAAATATTGCTACAAATTTGATATGACAGCATTCCATGAAGGCCAGGGAGTGCAACAAAACCATAATTTTATTTTTAGCTTCATTGGTACCAGAGTTATGGCCTTAACAAGTATACTCATTAGAAATCTGAAACTGTTGCTTAAGTTTGTTGCTAATTAAATCACTATTGCAAAAAAAAAAAATTACATTTTTTGGTTTTCTTGCACTAATCAATGTATAAGCTTTCAAATGCTGCTAGAATTATCGAAATCCGACTGCTACATCAAAAGATACTGTGGGCAATGGCTTAGGGTGTGATGAAAAATGTTGTTTTGAGAAAACGAGAAAAGAAGTTTAGGAACATGCTGAGCACCTATATTTAACAAGAAAAGGTGTGAATCGGTGTATTAATCATGTCAGAAGCCACCAGGAATGTAGTCATCATCATTCTCCTTGGTGTGCTTTCTTTTCATGGCATGCTTGAAGTTTTCAGCATGCTCATGCTTCTTCTCCGATGCCATTATTCGGTGACTGTCCTTTTCTGAGCATCTTTCAGCGGCCACAACACTCTGCTGCAGGTGCAGCTCCTTCAATATGGCGGCATCTGCTCTCCCTTTGCCAGCGTTGAACCTTGCAACAGCTTCGGCCACAGCAGCTTAAACGGTGAAAAGCGATGCGTGTTTGTTTTTGGACATGAGCGACCAGATTACAGAGTGCAGGCTCTCATTTGGGTTCTGTGTTTTGCCTCGCTGACAATGTTCCAGCAATTTCTTGTCAGAGAGGCGCGTGTAAATAGGCCGCAAGGCATCAACCACATACTCCGGCAGGTTGTAGCGATGATTCGGAGGAGTCTGCTGCTTGGCAACAGCCTTGTTGTACTTGCACCATGACTCTTCACCAGTTGGGCAGTGAGAGTGCTGAAGGCTTGCATCAGTAGATGCTACGTGATAAAAGGTTGCCCAGACAGCATTATTCATGGCCTCAATGCTTCCTTGGTTGCTTTGTAAAAGCCCATGCATAATATGACGTGAGCTTTGTGACCAGCTCGCCTGTCAGTTTGCCCTTCCCGCCAAGGCTTGGCTTTCCTTCGGCTCTTTGTTTTTGCAGGAGGTTTCGAAGTGCTGTGCCCATGCGCTTATGCACATGGTTGACACAGTCCTCTTTTTCTATTGGCACGAAGCCATATACCTGTGCCTCCTGCAGACTGTTGAAGGCCCGGCTGTCTCCATCACACTACATGGTTGTGTAGCGGAGCCCATGTCTCTCCAATGAGCGGCCAAATAAAGTTTGTGCTGCTTCCACCTCCATTTGTCCTGGCTTACTGGAGGTGTTCTTTTGGCAAGTGTGACCAGCTAGCCACTCGGCATACCTTGGGTTGTCCTCCTTCGGCCCTAGCTGGCAGCCCAAACAAAAGTTTGATAGGACAACGAAGTCGAGCACATAACCCGTGAATAATTCAATCACGGTCCCTACATAAATATGGGATGTGTGGCCCCTGGTCAGCCAAGTCCCATCAAAGGAAACGGCGATATTTCCAGGATTTCCATAGTTGAGTTCGGAATACACCGTTTTCACGGTGCTCGCGCAGTCAATAACGCGCGCGAAAGCCTTCTGCGCGGCAGGGTTCATTTTCAATTTCACATAATCCTGGTATGTCTTCGTGTGCAGGCCTCTCCGTGAAATATTTAGGGCGGAAAAAATATCGTTGAGCGCAGTTTGCCCGTTTCCTATGTTCATTGCCGCGCGAACCGCGAGCACATTAATTTCGAAGGGGCCGTGCGCTGCGTCCCCCCCTGCTCTCGGCGAGCTCCATACGGTCCTCAGTTTACCGCACTCGTCACATGTGAGAACAAGTTTCGCGGCTATGCCATATTCGCGGTATTCGTTGGAGATTCTGCCAGGCCCGCCACACACACTGCACTTCATACACTGAAGAAGTTCGTTGACCAACTCTAAGCTAACGACGGTGAACGGCGTACCAGGCATTGCGGCTCCATCCGAGTCTGGAAAAAAAGACCTCTTGCGTTTGGTGGCAGACTTCGATGAAAGATCTTGCAGAACATCGCTCGCACGACACTCGATGGCCACTTTTTCAGCGTTGGAAACCAGGGGAGTGTCGACGCACAGCTCTCGTGTGATCTTGGGAAGCGGCTATCGCATCCGCGATCGCGGGTGCCGCGACGGTGATAGCGCTGGCACAGCCTGCTTCTTCCAAGTTCTCGGCGGCAGAAGGTCTCGCTGGTGATAAGGTGCGGGCTCTCGGATGCCGTTTTCGCCTTTTTCCGAACGCATGAGCACTCCGGAACTTCCGATGACCACCTGCCATTGCACCGAATGCACAGCCGTTGTTAGGCCTCTACGCAAAATGGCGGCTTGCACGCTGCTGTCTAGCAGACGAATCCCTTCGCGTCCAATAGGAAACCGGGAAACTGCCCCACATGACAAAAATGCATGAATGATGTGCAAGTATTCAGTTTTTATTTATGCTTGATAGCTGCGTTGTTGCTAGACGAAAAACGTTCTTCTGTTAGGAACAGATAATAGAAAAATGCGTCTTTAAAATGAGATTAAAATGGCCGCGCTACTTGGTGCGGTTCTCGCGCACTGCGGCGTTGAATACGACCGTTTTTGAGGTGGTTTCGGAAGCGAAATTGGTCATCAAACTGACTTTGGGACCTAATAAGTCAACAAATACGCATTACAGGGCTATAATATTTTAGGAACAGCTTCCTTAGACCTTAATGATTATGAAAAAAAAAGTACTTCAAAAAGTCCGTTTTTCGGAAAATTTTCTGCCTCCCATACCCGTGTCTCCCTTTAACATTGTGATGCATTTTCAGAACCTTAAAATACGTTGAAGTCTAGAACACGCTCAATAGCGATAGCAATGAGACTGCCCTGTTTTTGCCAGTCACAAAAGCAAGGCAATCTCATTGCCTTCACTATCGAGCGATGGCGGCAGCCATGATTGCTGAACAGCGGTGATTTTTGGTGGTGCCAACGCGTGTTCAAGACATCGTCGACGTATTTTCAGGTTCTGAGAATGCATCAGAATGTTAAAGATTGGGTTTACTGTATAGCAATAAATATCTGAGCTTGGAATCGCATGGTGAAATTTCGTTGAAGTGGGACGGCAGAAGAAAAAGTATTCGTTGTGGTGACAATATTCAGGCATTGACTTATGGACTGCTGACGACAATATTCAGGCATTGACTTATGGACTGCTGACAGGGAACCATGAATTTTTAGTTGTAGCGGGAATTTTGTTGAAGCGGCATTCGTTGTAGCGGGGTTCGACTGTAATTTTATTGTAGCTGCCGGTTGAAGCGATGGAGAATCAGCATGCAGTGCTCATACGGATGCGATTGCGCTCTTTGATCTGACATTGCGTTAAAACACCTGTATGTCACTTCAGCCCAGCCTTCTGAACCTACTGTATTTACTAGCGCAATGAATGCACTTTTTTTTCCTAGAAAAATCTGAGCAAAGTTGGGTGGTGCATGTATTATGTGGGGAAAATTTTATGAAAGCCATTTCGGTATGACCAGAAAAATGGGGTAGTGCGAAAAAAAGAAAAGTTAGGTCGTTTAGCTTTTTTGTAGCATTTCA